GAAAAGCCAGATATCCAGATTTGTTTCTTCTGTATGTTCCCATCAGACATGTTTGCTCTAAGGACCGCCACGCTACACACGCACACAGACGTAAGTCACATCCCTAGGACCTACCCTGAGAGTCCCCTTCTTATTAAAATAGAGAACGGGGTGGAGCGGGGCTCATGAGGTAGGAAATGAGACAGCCACATGAACGACCCAAAAGAGACTTCCTTGGCGGCAGGGCCCATGGTGTCTTCGTCTTGGCGTCCTGAGCAGCTGGAGTAGTGCCCGGCTCATATAGCAGGTGTACTGCACGCTTGCTGAGTAAAAGAATGGAAATGTCTCCCCGAGCATGAAGAGGAGGACGGAAGCCGTCTAAGATGGGCATTTTGGCTGAACCCCTTTCCTGGTGAAGGTCTACCTCATTACAAGAGATGAACAAAGGCATCTCAAGAAGTGTTGGATCAGAATCTAGATCCTTCAGGATGCATGGAGATTTTATTGGTGGGGAGAGAGGTCCCATGTGTGAACCAACCAGACAGAAAAACACGTGAACAGCGTGGTGTCAGATGATGCTAATGGCTGAGAAAGCAAAGGGGATGTCGGGGAGTTTCTCTTCCCCTAATTCAAACCGTTTAATCCCAGTAGACATTTTTCTTTTATTGCCCGTAGAGAAGGAGAAATCCTGCTACACGATAGGATCTAGCCCCTCTTCTGTTTCACACCAACGAGCTCAGTTGTCCTCCCAGGAACCCAGCCAAGAATGTTGCAGGATGATGTCTCGTTAGTCTCGTGTTCATCATTTCTCGTCCTCTCCGGAGAGCTTCGCTGGCATCAGTGAGTGTGGTCACTTGGGTCTACCTGTGCTAATGTGCTGAATTCTAGGTACCTCGGCACCTACGGCATGAATGACTCTTGGATTTCTCAGAGAAACCCAGGTGGGCACTCTTTTGGACCTAATTTTATGGAGAGAAACCATCAAATATTTGATGCCTTGATGTGCTCGCTCTTGGCTTCTTTTTCTCTGG